CTCCCGACTCGCCGGGCCCATCAGGGCGCCAAATATGCCCTCGGGGGCTATTTTGGGCGGAGAAGCCAAAAAGAAGTGGAAAAACCGGAAAGACGCTTGGACTTGGTCCAAGAAAGTGCAGGCAGCAAATTGGCTTGGTTATATCGTTGATGGTCGAGTATCTGGTTGTTTTTATGGGAAGTTAGCTGCTTCGGTGGCGGCCAGAGTATAGTAGCGGAAAAAAGAAATAAGAAAAAGCAGAAAAATAAGATCCTTCCTAAAAAATTTAAAATGAATTTTTAGAACGCTTAAACCCACAGAAAATTGTAATTTGGTCAATTTACAAAAGTTACCGTAATTACGGAAGGAGGGAAAACGGGGAAAAAACGGAAAATGGGTTTTGCATCCTAAAAACCAAATTTAAACTTAGAAAATGCTGAAAAATGAATTTACCAGGAATTAGTTTTTGGAAATTTTGGTTTTCAACGTTTTCGGAAAGAGGCCGTAATTACGGAAAGCGGAGCCTCGCGGAAAAAAACGGAAAACTGAAACCGAAAATTACCCCTTCATAACGACTTCGACTCGAAATTGTCCTCAAAACAGTTGCGGAGCCTCAAAAATGGAAAAGCCCAGCCATTCCCGGGGCTGTTTATTTATTGACCATGTGAGGAAATGGGGCAAAAATGACCAAAGCGTCCCCAGGGAGCCAAGGGCTCATTCAGAACGACTTTGTGACATATCATCCTCATATATTTCTTTTTGGGGGTAGTACATAGTGCGCGGACGGAGAAAACAATTTTTTAAGGAGCTAGAAAGTGCCAGAATAGATGAACTCGACTAGAACGACGGTGCAAAGAATTCGATGTTCCTCTCTTTCTCTCTCTCGCTCTCTCTCTCATCCATCATCTCTCGCTCTCTCACGCTCTCTCTCTCTCTCTGTCTCTCGCTCTCTCTTCCGCTTTGGCTCCCTCTAACTCACTATCTGTCTCTCGCACTCTCTCCCGCACTCTCGCTCACTCGCATTTTCTAGTGTAGATTATAACAATTATAAAAATGTAAAAAATCGAACTGGCCATCCATTTTCCTCCAAAAAGACAACCAAGAATTAAGGACAAACAATTTCACCACTTTTCTTCACTCTCTGAAAGACCCCGTCCCCTCCAAGAGGCCAAAAGCGGAGATCTGACAACGCGAAAATACTCATTACGCTCGGCAAGGCACGCGAAGAGTCAACGAGCAGTAGAGGGTGTTACCCCGTTTTGGGCCCGGATTGGCCACCGGGTGGGACGAGAATAGAATACTAGGCAGGCTAATGGGATTGTCGCCACCATTCATGTGGAGCAATTGCGTAGTGGGTTGGATGGTCATGGATCGGGAATCGAGATTGGGTTTGGGTTAAAACGCTTGAATGAGGTTGCGTTCCTATTTGAGCAATTTTCAAGGATTTACCACCAAAGTGTGGATTATGAACATTTGCATATAAGAACTGCAATCAGAATTATAAGAATTGGTGTTTTTTAAAATCAGTATTATAAAATTAGAATTTTTAACTCGTTCATGGATCTGAATTCGATATCGAGGTGGTTCCAAAATCAGCATGAGTTTCCAGTGGAATTTGTTGTTTGTGTTAAAGCTTACTAAAATTGTTAGGCTTCAGTTCTGAGAAGGCTGTAGCGGAAGGAGGAACCGGAAATGCACATAGTAATTAGCTGGCCGGGTGCGAAGAACGCGGGCCGTTTGCACCCGGAGGGAACGTCACATGACTCAAAAGATAATTTTTCTGAGTGAGGAGAGCACACTGCGATGATGAACTACGGTATAACACACCGTAGAAGACGGATAAAAATGTTGTGAACGTAAAGGTGGCTGAAATAGCTTTAATTTCAAAAAATTCAGAGCCTCTCCTAGGTTTGTTTTCGGCTACTTCAACGAATTTTTTAAGAAGCATGCAAGCGGCAATGGACTACAAACTACGCTACAATGGCAGTACCAAACATAGATGGCGAAAGGTTCCATTGACTAACATATCGATCGCTCGGAGGTGCATCTCGGATTGTGGAATCCCGTGACAATCCCTATCCGACCCCTCCAGCAAAAAAAACTTCCATATTGAAAGCGAGGCAACAATGGTCCACTCGTGGGTGGGGAACTCTCCAAACCGGGGACCAACGAATCATCACTATCAACCGATCGTCACGCAAAAATTGGCTCAATCTTTACGGGAACGGCATTGCGTTTCCAGGAAAATATGCGCTAGGCAAGAATGTAGGATAAGAATTGTGTCCTGGTCTGGCTGATGCTAGCCGGTAGAACTTTGGAAATCTAATTTTGCTGTCTCTGCACCTTGAAAGATTGTAACGCTCAAGAACTAAGAGCTTAAAAGGATGACGTTAGCAAGATGTGCCGAAAATCCACGTCATTGCGTAGGTTTTACCACGCACGGCAGAGCGTAATACGAAAGCAGAGTGGAAAACTGTGTAAATCCAGGCCTGATTATTTTGAGTCCCGCATCGAGTCCCACTTTCCTAACCAAATAGCCCCCCCCACCTAAAAAGGAGAAGCCTCAGCAAGGAGACCGAGGAAAAAGAGAGGAGCGCTGGCTTGTAATTGGAGAATCATGAGAGTGCGTGCTCATCGGAACAAAAGGGTTGTGTGTCAGAGTCTATTTTGCTAAACGAACAGAGGTCAATTAAACCAGAAAATAGCCGTAAGATATAACTTTATATTTTCACTAGCGGCTCTCGGCAGCGGAGAATTTACCCCTCCAAGCGACCATATCTCGTCAAAATCCGATGGGCTCCAAAACCAACCTTTCGTCAAAATTGAAAATTTCAAAAAATATGTTTGCGAAAGCGTAATACCCTGAAATCGTGCTTTGGACCGTTACGTAGTTCTCGAGATCTAGTGAAACAGTAAGGGTTGAGTGCTACACTTACTCGTCCCTTTAAATGGATTAGCGTAACTGTACGATGGATTCTTTATGGATTTGAGCGCAGGCGTAGGTATACTGGGTGTCCCAAAAAAAACCCCCCCCTACCTAGCGGTCCGCGGTCAAGTCCGATTTTTATGATTTAACTACCAATCGAAAACTCACGAAAAGGCGAGAAAACAAGCGGGTTGCGTTTTCTAAGATTTAATCTGATTCTATCGATATTTCAGGTTTTCCTAAAAAACCGGGAATTTTTCATCAGGAATTTCGCAATTAGCATGCAGATCTCGCATAAATCAGCAGTTTTCATGGTTTTTGGACATTAAATCAGCAAATAAAATGGCTTAATTAAGAAATTCAACCCTCCTTGTTTTCTCGCCTTTTCGAGAGCTTTCGATAGATACCTAAATCGTAAAAATCGGAATCGACTGCGGACCGCTAGGTAGGGGGGGTTTTTTTTTGGGACACCCTGTATGTGTTGCGTGCTTTCTTTCTCCAGCTAGAACTAGAAGAGGGTGGGACAGCGAGAGCGAGAGCGAGAGAGAGAGAAGAGAAAGAGAGAGCGTGGTGTTTCTCGGCAAAATTCATTCAGAATCCAGAGCCAAAAATCTGTCTTTCTTCTTTTGCGCGTTCCCTTAAAGGCAAAAAAAAAACATACAAAAACTGGACTCCACTCGGAAGAATGTACCGAGTCCACACCGGCCGAATCCCTAGAGTAGATTTCGGTCCGAAAGCCCAGATCCGGGGAATTTCGTTACTTCCGATAAAAAAACGTGAAACCCCGTTGGCCCAATGGGGGCTGGTGGGTGGATTGTGACGGGTGGGCCGTGCCTGGGGGGAAGTTCGAAATGATTGGATCCAATTTGTTTGGCCTGGGCCCTGGCTTTCCAAGGGTTGCCACAACCCTCCGGTCCTAAAAACAATTGGAGGCCCGAGAGGATACATACAGGAAGCAAAAAGGGACTTTGAGATCCCGATGACCCACGAAATTACTTCAGCCTTTGCCTTCGTCATGGTAGTAACTGGAGGGAATACGTGCTTCTTGGCGCCGGGTCATGCGCAAAGTTGCTATGAAAATTAGCTTGACACCGCAGAAGGCCTCATTTTTGCCTAATTGGAGTTCCTTTGCATCTTGTAAAGAACCTATTGTAGGAACCTACCTATTGTTATTACCTGTTGGGAACGTGGTGAGGCTATAAATACTATCGATACTGCTGAATAAGGAACCGCTATGGTTTCGCCGCGACACGCAACGCATTATACGGCGCGCAACGTAACGCAACGCGCTACCCCGACCAGCCCCTTCATTGAATTTCCTGGTCCCGAATTGAAAACAAAGAAAATTTCGTGGCGTTCCCAACCCGCCTCTGGAAAGGCATTTTGAAAACCCACATTAACCGCTAAAATCGGGGACCATACAGTAAAGCCAGATGACTCCTACCATTACTGCCATTATCAAGGAGTCAGACAGACAGACCACAAAAACGGCCCAAAAAGCCGGATAAAAACTTTTGAAAAACGCTTCGAACTTTGCTAGGACAGACACAGACCCAAATAATGACCGCAACGACGATTATCTTGGCCTGTCTCTCTCTATAATTACTAAGCCAATCATAATTTAGCAGAAAACTGGTGGTGGAACTTTCAAAAGTAGAGGGCATCGCCGTGCCAAAAAGAAAAATTTTCCGAACATCCGATGGTAGTATGACGGAAGTGAAAAAGAATTAGAGAACAATAGCGGATTCACCTTAGGACTGGAAGTCGGTTTCAGAGATCTGGTATGCGCCGTCGGAGATTTGGATGTCCCAATTAAAGAAATCGCGTCAAACTGAAGATACCAAGCGTACCGGATTCAAAAAATCGTTTGAAATTTCGGGTTCCAAACCATTCCACTGTTGCACTATCCCACACATCTCGGGGCTTTGCGCACAGCTCCGTGAAACGCTCTTACCCGCGGCCGTGCTCGACAGGGAAGTGAAAACGCTCGATCAAAATCAATTTTTTTTAGTTCGAAAGTGTAACATCGTTAAACTGCAAATCATTTTATTTTCTCTGGGTGATTCAACAATTTCAGGTGCGGGTTATCCGCTTATATAGCCTTCAGAAGGCCCGAACAAGCCGACGCCGTGGTTTTCTGAAAGGGTATTATGAAGCGCGCGAGAGAGAGAGAAAGAGAGAGAGAGAGAGAGAGTGGGAAAGCCGCTAAAATCCAACCCACCGTTCGAACTTCGCATAGCGCATTTCGAGGCGTGTGGTCACAAAGATGATCGACCCATGCCCCGTTTTTCGACAATATCTGAAAAAAAGAATCATCGATTTCCCATAAAAACAATAGCTTCCAAGCCCCAAAGCCTGTCTAAACACCCACAAATAAGCAGTTCTCGCCCGCGCTCATCTCACTCGGCTCGGTGGATCCCCAGTTGCTAAAACCACAGCCATGTAAAAGACGGAGAGTAAATACTTACACATAGCTACTGTTGACGCCCTGAACATTACGGAGCGTACCGTCGCGGAGCTTTTCGACTCCAATCCAGACTTGCTGAAGATGCAATTGACTTAAAGGTCGTAAACTTAAACCTGACGCCAATAACCGCTTGCTAAATCGGGTGGATAGTTGATTGACTCTTTGTATAGTCCTTTTTCATGCATCATTTCTAAACACACATTATCTTATATATATATATATATATATATATATATATATATATATATATATATATATATATATATATATATATATATATATATATATATATATATATATATATATCCTACTATATATAAAAAAATAGTGTCTGTGTGTGTGTGTGTGTATATTTGCATGCACTTCCGTTTGGATGTTCCGCTCCTACAGCCTCGGGGAAGGGTTTTTTGGATAGGGAAGAAACGACAATAGGTTTAGAATGGTCCGGAATCGACTGCACACACATAAAAATTTTGAAAAATTGCGGTTTTCGCTATCCTACTATATATAAAAAAATAGTGTCTGTGTGTGTGTGTGTGTATATTTGCATGCACTTCCGTTTGGATGTTCCGCTCCTACAGCCTCGGGGAAGGGTTTTTTGGATAGGGAAGAAACGACAATAGGTTTAGAATGGTCCGGAATCGACTGCACACACATAAAAATTTTGAAAAATTGCGGTTTTCGCTATTAAAAATAGGTTTTTGTAAAACCCTGTTTGTTAGGGGAAATTAGCATGCGCCGGAAGTAGGAAGAGCCTATATAAAGGGACAGAGGAGCCGTTTTTCACTTTTTTCTTTAATTTAATTCAGGAAGAAACATGCAAATTAAGGACTTTCACAGGTCCTGGACGGGGCCAGGGTTGAAAAGCCGCGAAGCGGTTTTTCAACCCTGGTATATATATATATATATATATATATATATATATATATATATATATCTCACTGTCCCATTGATCTCTTTCTCTATCTCGCTCTCGCTCTCTCGTTCTCTCGCGCCCTCGCAATCTCCCCCTTGCTCTCTCTCTTTCACGCACTCTCTATCTCTCTCAATCTCCCGCTGTCTCCATCCCTACCTCCTTACTTGTCAGGGCCTCATTCTGCGAAGCACATCGAATAACACCAAGATCACCACCCTTTGCATCTTTTCCGCAAAGCTTCCGGCTGTCCGCCCAGGTGGCGTTGGCCCGGATGAACTAACATCCCCAGAAATCAACCGCAATATCCCAGTTTCTTACCTTGTAGCACGACCCAGCAACATCAGTATACCCTGGAACTTGGTCGCAAGAGGCGGGAAGCTAAAAGCTGTTTGTGGACCAAACGCATTGTGTGCCGCGTTAGCGTGAAAACCTTGCTCAATTCCGTTCACATTCTCGCAAAATATGATGCGTCATTTTACCATCCAGTAAATTTTGCCTACCAGATTTTCCGGAGCACACCCCTCACGTTGCTTGTAGATTACTAAAGAGGTTTTGATTAACCGGAAGCGAAAATTTAACTCACGAGCATCAACGTCCTGGTCCAAGTAGCAAAAAACAAGCAAAAAGAAAGCGCTACGGTAAATGGGTGGCATTTTGGTGTAAAGAGACCATTCGAAATCGGAGCGGCTTTTAAAGCCAGACGAAGATGATCAGGATTCGATGAAGGCTCGATATTCGGTCGGAAGTTAGGCACCGGAAGTAACAAAAAGTCTAGATATGAACTCAACGCACTTCCAAAATTTGCGGTTTTTTTGACAGGTACATAAATTAAAATCCAAATTAGCATGCATCCACTGACAGGAAGAGGCTGGTTCCCAAAAATTCATTATTCACTCGCACCCGTCCCCGAAATCAGGTTGGTTTTGAAGTAGACTTTTTGAAGGTTTTCCTATTCATAGTCATATGCAAATTCGCCGTTATTTCAATTGAAATTTTAAATTTATACTTCAGCACTCCGGGATGCGCTCGCAAGACCGGAACATGAGAAAGCCGACGCTGCGCCACCGCGAGGATCGCCGGGAGATTCGACGGGAGGGCCGACGCGAGGAGCAGCAAGAAGGAGAAGAGTCCTCCACCCCGATGTCGCCCCTCAATCGGGGGCTCGTCAACCCTTTCCGGTACAAGGACCACGAGCTGCCGGTGAGGGTGAGCGAGATTTTTGAATTGAACTGCTTGGAGTCGTCCCACCCGTACCTGGCGTCTTCCGAAAGCTAGAATGTCGAAAGTTAAAATAGCGACAAGCAAAATGCCGACAAAAAACACCGGTATTTCGTTAAGCAAAACCTTTAAGGGCACATTTTTTACCATTTCCGTTTTTAACATTCTCCAGAAGTCGGCCCCCACCAACGATCCGCCTCCTCCCAAGAAGACGACCACCCCGCCGATCCCGCCAGTCCCTTCCACTCCAGCCCCTCCTGCCGACGACCCGGAACCGCCTCGCCTCCAGAAGTCGGTGGAAGAGACGATCCGCCTCGACCGATGGTTCCTCACCCGCTTCTCGATCGATAACCCGTATGAGGGGTTGCAGCAAGAGTTCACCTCCCTCCAACGGGTCAGCTGCGTCACGTGGTTTTGAACGTTAATTTTGAGGTTCAGGACCCGTGGATGGAGGACACGGTCGACGACAGTCCCTTCTTGGAGCAGCAGATTGGCGACGAAAACGTCAAGCAGTACAAGGTGAACAGGGCTGGGCTTAGGTTACGCCCAGCTTAACTTAGCTTAGCTTAGCTAATTAGCTTAGGCCTAGCCTAGGCTTAGCTGAGCTTGTACTTGAGCTGAGATTAACTTTTTCTCCGTCCGTCCTGAACTTGACGATTCCATTTCAGTGCTACGGCCAGTACGTCCCGAGCATCTACCGTACGCCCGGCTTCATCGCTTGCGAAGGTCCGAACGGAAAGTCCGTGTTCGATTTTTGGATGCTCATCTACCGCGTGGGCCTCGATTTGGCCATATCAAAATCCAATTCAGGAAAAAATCGAGCGCATCTTCAGCGTCAACTTCCCGTTCGAAGAGCGGCTTCACCACGACGGTGACCCGGTAGTATGGAACGAACCCTTTGGATACGCCTAATATTCATCTACAGGACAAGCCGGTGGTGAAGGAGACGGTGCAGTACTGGCCGATGGTCCCTGGAGCTGTCTTCTATTTCATGCCCTTCAAGATTACCTGCATCACCAGCGTCCTCAAGGTATCGCTAACTGCTTGAACTTAACGTCTCCTGTCTAGTACGCGCCGAACGTGCTGTCGCACGACAACTCGAACGTCGTCTACCGGGTCTCGCGGCTGATGGTCGAGATGGACAACCCTATGAAGATGACCACCGAGGGGATGTCGGAGGAAGAGCCCGATGACTCGTCTTGGCATGAGGAGCTAGCCCCTCAGAATAACCCGAATGGGTGTGTAATTTGGAGCGTAGTGGAATTCAGCTCTTTTGCAGTGAAAAACACGAGGTGACCCACGTGTGCTACCTGCGATGGCCGGACGGACGGGTGCCAATGCCGTGGCCACAGGGGAGAGATACGTACAAGGATGCTGGATGTCGGCTTGTGGATATCATGCTGGAGGTACCGAATTTGCAGTTCTTCTCTCTCTCTTTCTCTCTCTCTCTCTCTCTCTCTCTCTCTCGCTCTCTCTCCCTCTCTCTCTCTCTCGCTCTCTCTCCCTCTCTTTCTGCAGCTGCACGCGACGCGCACGGACATGCCGCCATCGGCTATTTTCCCCTTCAGGAGCTCTCCTCCGAGTCCGAAACCCCGATCGTCATCCACTGCCACGCGGGCATCGGCCGTACCGGGGTGGCCATTGCCCTTCTCATGGCCCTTGAGCAGTTCCACGAGACCAAAGGCACCAACATCAAGGTATCGTGGTTTATTATCATCAAGCGCCGGTAATCAGTGGCTTTGCGTAATTTTGCCTTTTCAGGGCCTCGTCACCTATCTGCGCTGCTACCGCCCGCGTTCCGTGATGAACCACTGGCAGTACGCGTACATCAACGTCCTCTTCGCGCAGAAGGTCGGAATTGAGGGTAGATGAGGTTTTATTGGAATTTTCTAGCTCCTTCGCGCTGGCCACATCTCGGAGACGATTGGCGGGCACAAGTCGCAAGATCTCTTGGACAAGGTCTGGGACCAGATGGAGGCCATCATCGAGTCGGTAGTTTTAATTCGTATTTTTTATTGGAGTTCACACTGTACGTCTCGAGCACGTGCCGCCACGTTGCGTGCATTCTACGCAGTCGCTTGATGTCCCTCTCTCCCCATGTTTTACTCTTTCTATCTCTCGCTCTTTCGCCGTCTCCCTCTCTCTCCTTCGCACTTATTCGCTCTCACGCCATCTATCGTTCTCTCTCTTCCTTGCTCTCTCCCTAGCTCTCTCACTCTCTCGCTCTCTCTCTCTCTCTCTCTCTCTCTCTCTCTCTCTCTCTCTCTCTTTCTCTCTCTCTTTCTCTCTCTCTGTATCACTCTTTTTCTCTCCTTCTCTCGTGCTCTCTCGCTAGAAATAACTATCTCAAGTTATATCTCATGCTCTGACGCTCTCTCTCTTGCTCCCCGCGAAAAATACGCTACGCAACACGGAAATTCGCGTTTTAATGCGGGCGTCTGAGTTTCATTTTTTTTCAGTCGCGTCAACGCCAAGTACGACAGCTTCCTCACCTACTTCTACGAGATCGGCGTCAAGGTGTAGATGGGGAGGATATGGCGACTCCCGCAGCCGAACCGACCATTAACATTAAAACTTAAGCTCCCTTTCACTTGTATTTGTTTGTGCCATTTTCGCAATCACCTAGTTTCCAGGATTTTCTTCTCGTTCTATTGTCCTTATATCGCATTGTGGTGTGACAAATTGTGATGAATATACGGTGCTCGTGGTGGTGTGTGAGAATAAATGGTGGTTTTCCGAACTTGACGTCAAATGGATCAACATCGAAACAATTAAAAACATTAGCTTACCTAACTGCAATAGTTTATCAATGACCTCCATTTTTCAGGATTCACAGAAGTAATGGTGGCTCATATCTTAGTTTATGCGGTTTTTGCCGTCATGAAGGTGTCATCGACAATCCCATAAGATATCGGATACCCTTACATGATGCTATACCCTAGCAACCCCACCGGTGGTTGCACGGGTTGATAGCAAATTATTCAAGAAGTAAGCCTGAAATGTGATACTGGAACGCCTGGAATATCTAAGGGAACATTACCAGGTTCCCTGCCCTCTCTCCCTCTATCTCTCGCTCACCCTCTCTCTGTCTATCATTATGTCTCCCTAGCATTCTGTCTATCTCACTCTACCGCCATCGTCCTATCGACCTCTCTAAAGGAATAAAAACTCTACAAATAAAATTATCCGATTTTTGTTCTATTCTAATAGTAATTTCCGTTTTTACCGATTATCTGTTTGCTTTGCTCATTTATGGACTGGCCCAGGCTTAGAAGAGGTGGCCAATATTTTGGGCCCAGGTACTCGATGGCCCCCGCCGGCGTTTGTAAGCAAAAGGGCAAATTCCTGGGCCGTAGTGGGCCAGGAATCACGTGGCACATTGCCAAATTGGGTGCACCCCTTTCTATGGGTTGGGTAACCCAGATCGGAGTCATGGGGTTTTTTGTCTGGGTTTCCGGAAATGGCTTGGTGAGAGCGAGATACCTCACTGGACACCTAAAAACTTAAAGGGATGCCGACGGCATAGTGAATCGGTTACGCGCGGAAAATAAAATGTCTCTGCGCCTCTCCCCTATGCGCCCTCTCTCCCCTGTTGGCTACTTGCCAATTTGTTGATGAGGGGGGATCGACACATGCCGTCGGCAGCCCTTTAAGTAGAGGCTCTACGAGTGAACTTTTTGGCCAGGCGCCACAGGGAATTTCCGAATCTGTTAACGTAAAAAAATAGGGGGGTTTTTTCGATTTGAAATTCCGTAAAAAAAGTAAGGTGAATTAAAATTTGATGTATCGTAGTTAAACAGATTTTAACGGCTTTGATCCGTTAAACCCAACTTTAGGGTATCTAAACCTTATTAACAAAGCTTGAAACCTAGGATCTCAAAATTACCTCTTTTTCAACCCCAGATACCACCCCCCCCCCCGGCCAAACCCACCATTTTTTCTAATCTTGGCATGTTGACAAGAAAAGTGCAGCGGGTGTGTCATTCCGGGGGAGAAGCACGTGGCCCTCTATGGGCCCTGGTGGCCCCCTGTCTATCGGCTGGCTGGTCTGTCCGTCTGAAGGGCCCTTGTGACCCATTCCCACGAGACTTCAACCCCCCCGCCCCGGACCCCGAGTCGCTAAGCCTTTTTTGACGGGGTGGCGTGGTGCATAGGGGTTTCAAGGTGCCTAGGTGTATCCCTTTGAGCCCTTCTGCCACTTCGCGTAGAATTTTACATCACTTAATAGGAAATTTTTACTGAAAAAAAATCAATGAATTTTCGCGGGCACCTCCGAATCTCAAAAATGACAATTCTGATGTCTTCGATGTTTGATTTGAAGCTGTGACGCTTTTCGTTTTATTTTCATGGCCTTTTTGCGATATTCAATCGCAAAGTAATTTTTAACAGAGCTTGACCGTTTTATGGAGCTGGATTCTCAAAAACTATTTCAAAAACCGAAACAAGATTTTTAAAAATTTTTAGCCAAAATCTTTTCAAAAATTCGGCTTTGACCTACCTACAGCTTATGTTCCAAGTGATCTTTCTCATCAGTTCTTTGACCGGAACATCCCTGTAATTCGAGACGTTTGCCGGACAGCTTGTCATTTCAGGTTCCCTTTCCTCAAAATCGCTGCCCCTCTGTTCGTTCGTTCGTTTTCGCAGCTTCCCCTCATCTTGCAAAAACGTCTTTTCGCTCTTTTTCCTCGGCCATAAATTTCTTCACAATTTTTCCAATTTCCCATAACGGCATCGGACGCATAAATTTGCCAAAAATAGCAAACGAAACGATGTGATTTTTTAGACAATTTATGGCACACCCGGATTTTATACCATACCAGCGCTGACCCCCCGCTCCGCGGGGGTTCAGCGCTAGCCCTGGGGAATGCGAAACGGCGCGGCTCCGGTGAAAATTTTCAGCCCCCGACTACGGTAGACAGGGGGATCGCGGCGGGATTGAATTCCCGGTCGGTCGGTCGGGCGCACGGACATTAGAAATTTATATATAGTAGATTCCATTTCCTTCTTCGAATCAAAAAAACACCCCGGGGGTTCGCAGTTTCGGACATGGCGCGTCCACTCAGGCCCCAAGGGTCCACATGGCCCATCAAAAAAAGCTGTTTCACCCCCGGCGAGCCTGGCGCAATCTACTCCCTTTATGGGCAACCCAGGCCGCAACAAAATGGGGGAATACATGTTACCGAAACGCACTTAATTTTTGGACTTTTATGGGTCGTAGTGACCTAAGTTACTGGCTTAAAATATGAGCTCAAAAAGTTTTTTCGTGTCTAGCTCTAAAAGGCGCAGCGCATTTTAAAATATGGCAAAGAACATCTAATTTCTCTAAATGTATCGAAGGCTAAAACGCGCACCAACGTTTTGGGGTCTGGCGTTTGAAAAAAACTAGTTAACAAAAGAGAGTTTCTGCTGAAAGAAACGGGTCGCTAAAATTGGCTGGTTCGTCCCGGGCCAGGCCAGCAGCACCCCTGCTGACATTGTTTCGCCCAGGTCACTCGCCCGGAAACGGGAACTCGTTTCCAAGGGAGTCGCGAGCTCCTGGAGATTTTGGACCAAAACATGATTTTTCAGGTTTTCTTATCACCGCTCAACGATTGATCGGTTTTTTTGGGTTTTTGGCTTAAAAAATTGACGTTTTTGAAGGGTTAGACCGGTCGGGACTACAGCCACGCGCTTTTCCAAATACCTATCATCGCAATTACGCGTTTTATTTTACTAATTTTATTGCCAGTAATTATCTTGGAGTTATAGTCCGGCAGCACAGCCGCTACTTGGCACACCCATATTGGTCTTTTAAAAAGATTATTAAAATATCAAAATCCTACCAGACCATCATTTTCGTTACGTATCGCGGTTACATCAAAATCAGTACATTTTTCTACCCTTTAACTCCAAATTTGAAGTTTACAGCGAGGAAGTGAAGTGAAGTGAAGAACCCTAGTCCAGCGTACGGGTCGAATCTAGCGCTTCTTTTTTGAGGAATACACACTTCTTATTTTGAAAAACTTCTCAAAAATCATCAAAAACAACTTTTTTTTGTGTACAGCCGCCACCAACACCTCCAGGGGCAATTTTGACGCCCTCCCTCACATCTGGTCAAATCACAAAAACCGGAGGGGTGGTTGCTTGTGGTCGAAGGGTCGAGGGGTGAAAAAAATATTGGACCACAGACACCCGGTGGACAGAACAGAGGAAAAAGGAAGGTTAACAGCTGTTCGAAGCCCGGCTAAACGGCTTGCGACCTTTATTTTCGGATCAAAGAGCGCACCGGAACGCCATGCGGGAGCGCTGTTTTCCGGTGCGTTTGTTTGGGGAAGCTGGGATTTCACAGGGAAGCTTTGAGACGGGCTTGGACGGCTTGGGTTGCGAAATAGGAGTTAGAGCAATTTTTAACAATTTACTAATGCTTCTCGAGGTTTTTTTCTCTATCTTTACAGCTTGCATAATTTCTCGTTGCCCCACGCTCTCTTTCTACCTTTCTTCTCTCTCGCTCTAGCTTTCGATCTCTTGTCGAAACGCACACAATCTCACTCATCCGCTCAGTCCCGCGCTCTTTTGCACTTGTTTCGATCTCTAAATACTATCTCTTTAAATCTAGAACTCTCGCTAAATTGCTCTCTCATCCTCTAGCGCTTCTGACTTTCGCCGAGCTCTCCTCTCTCTCTCTCTCTCTCTCTCTCTCTCTCTCTCTCTCTCTCTCTCTCTCTCTCTCCCTCTCCCTCCATGCGCCTTACTATCTTTTTTAAAATTGTCTGCTAATTTCATGGTTTCTCTATACCTCACTCCCTCCTAACTCTCTCTCTCTCTCTCTCTCTCTCTCTCTCTCTCTCTCTCTCTCTCTCTCTCTCTCTCTCTCTCTTTTCTCACTAACTCTTCCTCGCACTATCTCTCGCCTTCTCTCAATCTCTGTCGCTCTCACTGATTCTGACGCACTTTCCGACCTCGAATTCCTGAGAATCTTTGCCGGCACCATCCCTTTAAAACTCCAGCCTTGGAACTCAATTCCCCGAAATCGACTACAAACCCTCACCCACATCACCGGATCTGTTTTTGCCGGCAGTGACCGCAGTGATTTTGGTTTTTCGCTTGGTTTGCCTTCCCGAATTCTTCCAAATTTGGTTGCAGCGGAGGCGGCGATCCCGTGACCCTTTAGTGGGCCATGGCCTCCTCCCAGTTCTCCGGAATCCATCCACCGAACGGGCCCCTCCTCCCCCATTCTCCTGATTGGCCTCCGTTTTCTTCGACAAAAAGTAGGGATTCTACCATCCTTTTTTTGGGAATCTTACTCTTTTTCACTCTCTCTCTCTCTCTCTCTCTCTCTCTCTCTCTGTCGTTCTATGACTATTTATAGTGATTTCTCGTTACTTTCGAGTAAGTTGATTTCACTTTTAAGTCACCGTAAAAGCACTATGTATTTTTGTACCTTTTTAGCAGATTTTTTCCGTAACATTTTTTATTCTTTTTTTACCGTAGGTATCGTTTTCTCTTTCTTTATACAAATCTGAGAAAGTTATCCCCACTCT